AAGTATTTGAAGTTGAACAAAAGGGTGCCAAAGACACTCCTCCTCTGGAGAGCCATCTAGGTTAGGCCTGGCCCTGAAACGTGATTAGTTTGATCACGAAGTTCATCTACCTCCCTGAGGTCTAGAAGTATAAATGCCACAATATCTACAATGGGGGCTGACGTTATGCACCCTCAAACAGTTTGGATGCATTAACAAGGGGATCAAAGAACCATGGAATTTCAGAAGGCGATGGAAAGTGAACTTGCAATCAGATTTACTTCCAGCATTGCAACTTAGATTGTGATTTGATGGGTTTTTAATATAGAAGTTGTGACTTTTACTGACATTTGAATCTATAGGATTTTTATTTGTGGTTGCAGCTGCTGTTTAACCTATGCTTCCAAATTCAACTTTTTGAGCTATCTGAGCATATTCTATGTGCTACGAAAGCTTCAGATTTATGGATGTTAGTTGGTTTCATGCATTACTACAAAGGTTCACAGCATGGCTTTACTATAGTATAGCCACCTGTTAGTGTAAACCAACTACAGCAAAAAAGATTATAAGAACTAGGATCCCTACTTAGGGATCCTTAGAAGCAGCTGAATATCCAAAATTTGATTGTTCCATTTTCCAGTTATTTTTTCCTATTCTTAACATGTGTATTCCATCCTTGATCCAAGGAGTTCAGGATGGTATACCTGAGTCCCCACTTTGTATCCTCACAGCAACGCTATGGGTTATTTTCTTTTGTAGTCTACCTTTCTCACTGGGATGCAGGGTGGCTTACAAGTACAATAGACCTCTTCAGTCAATTAGTAAGCTGACTACAAAATATGAATCTAATAGCAAAGATTCCTAGCAAAACAAAGCTATTCAGTCAATCAGCAAGTGGATTATAAAATATTACAACATTCAAGTCTAATAGCAAAGATTCTTGGGTAAAAAAAATGAAGAAGGGGGGAAAACCACATTATCCCTAATAAAGGTCATTTTGTGAGCTGTGCCATTACATCACAGCTCAACTCCTTTACAGTAATGCTCTTCAGAACAGTTCTGTTTCGCACATTTTGCAAAATGACAAGTATGGGGACCGCCCTTATAGCCTCAGGCAGGCCATTCCATAACAATGGAGCCATCAAAGAGAATGTGTGTGCACTGACAGTTGCCTATTTTACCTGTTTGCATGGGGAAACCTTCAGAGGGCTTTGCTCTGATGAGTAGAGCTGTCACAACAGCACATGATAGGAGAGACATTCCTTGTAGGTACATGGGTCCAATGCTATTAAGGGTTTGTGATGGTTTGAACCTTGAATTGAGCTTGGTACCTGATCTTTAAGGGCAGATCCAGGTGGAGTGCAATACAGTGGTCCAGTTTTTAGTCTCAAGATAACCAAAAATGGATCCATATAGGCAAGTCAGCTGATTCCGGGAGGGGGGTCATCTTCCAAGCTAAGTGAAGTTGGTGGAATGCCTTTTTTCCAGCTGCATCAGCTTCCTTCTCCATCAATAAAGCTGGATCCAAAATCAACCCTAGACTCTTAACCAATTCAGTGAGAGAGAACCGGACCCCATCCAATGTAGGGGATCCCCATGTCCTTCAGGTAGGGCTGGGTGGAGGATGCCCCACCTGCAGCCACAAACACACACACCCTCGCCACTGATTGGCTGGCCAGTGTGGGGGGGATAGCATGAAAAATGAGGGATGGAAGCTGCATCCCAACATGCTGCCATTACTCCATGTGTAGCCAGAAGTGATGTCAGTGCATCACCAGTGATGCTAGTGACACTTTGGTATTTGAGCAAAATTCTACAGTAAATTCTCCTCCACCACTAGTAAGTCTCCGCCTGCCCCTCTTGTTAGTTGCTAAGGGGGGACTGGCAACCCCACCTTCAGGGCCTTGGCCTTCCCAAGCAACATTACCTCCGTCTTGTCTTGGTTCCGTTTCAGTTTGGTTACCCTTAGCCCTTCAACTAATACAGTCAGGCACTACTTCAGAGACTCTATAGTGTCTCCAGGTGATTTGAATACAGAAATACAGAGCTGGGTGTCATCAGCATATTGGTGGTATCCTATTCCAAACTCTCAAATGATGTTTCCCAAGGGCTTCATGTGGAAATTAAATAACATGTGGGATAAGACTGATACAGTTTCCACACTGTAGAAAGCTGGTCCCTTACAGCAATCTTGTGAGCATTGCCAATTAAAAAAAAAATAACTATTGAAACTGGTCCAAAGCACATCTCTTAATCCCTACTTCTGTCTCCAGACATTTCAACAGGACAGCATGGTCCACTGTGTCAAAGGCTGAGGATATGTCTAGTAAAATCAGCACAGAGTCATAGCCTTGTCTGTATTTAGAAACAGGTAATCCACTAGAGCCACCAGTGCCATAGCCCAGCCCGAAACCAGAATGAAAGTGGTCTAGGGCCAATGATTTATCCAGGAAGGCCAGGACTTGCTCTGCAACTGCTTTTTCTATCCTTTGCCCTGGTCCCACATCATTCGGTAAGTTTGGTGGCTGAACCAGGTCTCTCCATTCTATTCTGACTCTCTAACCACAGCATTATTTCATTTATTGTGTACATTTTCATCCTACCCTATTTCCAAAGAGCTTGGGATGACATACATCAGCCTCTCCCCCTCCACCTTACCCTGACAACAACCCTGTGAGGTCAGTTAGGCTAAGAGAACGTGACTGGTCCAGAGTCTGACAGTGAGCATTAGGGTGGGGGGGGGATTTGTACCTGGGACTCCTGGATCCCAGTCTAACACTCTAACCATCATACCAGGCTGGCTCTCCCAATGTGGGTTCTACTTTTATTAGCACTCTGTTTCTTCCAGAAGTTACAGAGGGCTTCACTGTGAGCATCTCCTGACCGGACATTTAAGTTCTACACACCCAGCTTCAAAATGTACTCGGGGTTTCCAATAACGGCAAGGGAATACGATGATAGCAACTTGTGTGGCTTTTCTCCTGATTACAATAAATGCTATGTTTCAGGAGCTGCCAACCACAATTAGAAGGCAAAGACAAACAATCCCGAAGAAAGCCAAGGGAAATGTAATAGAAGGCTTTTCTGTCTACAAGAAGCTAAGCCCATTGGTCCAAAAATAACGCTTGGCAGAAGATTAATCGCATGCAAATAGATTATTTGGCAAGTGAGATTACTTAAAATTAGTGTTCAGACAGTGACGTGGCCCAAGGCAATGAAATCGCTGAAGCTGTCACATGATATGTTACCCAAATTAAACCTTATCTCTGCCTTCTTGTGGTTCTGCTACAATTTCCTTTTGGATTTTATATCCTATATTCCTTTTCCCCTTTAGCTTTTGCATAAAATTAGACTGCATTGGTTAAATATTGCTGAACACATAAAATGCATTACAGACTCTGTATTTCATTAAATAAAGGTTGCTCATACAGTGGGTTGGATCCACACAATGGCACTGGATCCTTATGGAAGGAGTGCTTTTGAGAACAGAAGAATCACTTGTCTGAGAAGAAGGGATGCCTTCCAAGAGAGGAAAGGATTCTCTGGATCCAACCCTATGTATTGAATCCAACCATTTATGAATGACCTGATTTATTTTTGTTATTAAAATGTTTATACCCCACCTTCCCCTTGTGGCTCAAGATTAATTACCAGTCTAAGATTCAAAACATAACAAAATATAATAAAATCCCATTAAGCCCCCTCCTCAAGAAATCCCTGCCACTTAAACGCCATTAACAGCTGTCACAAATAAAATGACCGCTTAAAGACTTGCAAAGATGGTGCCTCCTGACTAGGCTAGCCAGGCCTCCCGCTGGCAAGCTCTGTTGCCCCCCTGGAGGAAAATATCAGTTATATCACTGCCCCTGCCACGTCACTTCTGGGTACAACTTGGAAAGTGTGCTGATGTACTAAGACATAAGCTGTTCCAGGTCATATGTATCTGCCTGACAGATGACAGCTCCTAATTAACAGAGAAGACTGGAGCAAACTAGTTTTAGCCAGTGCTGGAGAGCTGGAGTCAGAATGACTCGGCACAAGATACTGATTGGCTACTGACATGTATATATGTAGTTACTGTACAGTCTATTCAGTTCCCTCTTGATATGCGGATGCTTGGCGAAGCACTTTGCTTGTTGCTTGTGTATACCAGCATCACCAACAACCTTGTAAATAAACTTGTAAATACTTTCTACACTTAACCGTGTGGACAGTAAACGTCTTTGGACTGGACTCTCTATTGCTAGATCGGTGCAGGCATTCAACACACTATCCTAACAAAGTGACAAAGGGTAGCTCTAGGAATTGACAGAAATTCTATGGTAAAACCATGAAGTTTCTGGTGATTCTTAGAGCTACCCTTTGTTACCCTTAGAACTACCCTTTGCTACTTCCTGGAAGTGAAGTATTGACATTACACCCACCATCATGTCCCTGTCATGACCATCATGTCCCTGCCTCCAGCCCTCTCATGGGTTGCCAGGCTTGCCTAACAACTCTATCCCTGACCTCCCCAAGGTGCCCTTCTCACAAGATAGGAGCCACTACAGAGAAGGAATGGGTTCTAGTAGATTTCACGCAGGCCATCTTAAGCTGGGGGATAACTAGAAGGTGGCAACTTGTAGCCCTTTTGCCATTCATTCTAGCTCCATTTTGTCTGCCCCTCCTGCTTGCTAGTTCCTACGCCAGATGCAGCCTTCTTGTGCTGCTGACAGCCACAATAATGCCTAGTAGGAAGATCCATCCAAAGGAGAGAAAGAAACAGCAGAGCATTATGCCTCAATTAACTCCCCTCCCTAAGAAATGTTTTGCATTGAATTCTATCATTTCCATTAATGTCTGTTTCCTGTGAGCTGCTCTGGGAGTCAATTTTTGGCTGAAAAGTGGGACAAAAATGTAACAGCCAGAATATCCAGAAAGAAACAGGTTGGTTCCAGAAATCTGTGGGTGCCGAATGCATGCAAAGACTTTGGTAGAAAAAGAAATGGATGGGTGGGGGAGCTGTAAAGCAGGAACACTTACTAGGCTGGGCATGGATTCATGTTGCAGATCTTTGTCTCTGTTAAGGGCTTTGTCCTTGGGCCACAGAAAGAGGAATTAACTCGGGTGCGGTGATCTTGTAAACAGACAGCTTTTGCTATTAAGTGCCCTGGGGAGATAAAAATAAATGGCAACAGCAATTCAAAATGAGATCCAGCACACTTTTTAAAAAAAAAAAAAAAATCAGAAACGGATTTTCAGTCTGAAAACTAAATCAGTGCAGGGGCTCCCATGTTCTTTTCTATGCAACTCTGCTGCATTCTCTTCTGTGAGATGATTAATGCTCAACATACAGCACAAGGAACCCCATGTGCCTATGGAAGATTTTCTTTTATTTAAAAAAACAACAACAGACAAGGTTCACTTATAAACACAAGACCCTGTTAACTTTCCATACAGCTGACTGTGGCTGAAAGTTCCACAGCTCCTGGAGGTTGCCTTTATAATTACTTTGCCCTATAACTGTTACATTTTTTGTGGGCAGAAAGGGTGTAACAATACCACAACATGTTGTAGTGAACATCCCAGTGCAGTGTGTGTTTAGGAGATATGGTTGCCAGCACTGGGGTTGCAAAATTCCTGGCGTTGTGGTGATGCAGCCTAGGAACGGTGGGGTTTGGGGAGGGGAAAGGACCCCAGCATGGTATAATGCCATAGAGTCCACCCTCCACAGCAGTCATATTCTCCAGGGCAGCAGATCTCTGTCTTCTGGAGATCAGCTGTAATTCTGGGACAGAGGGCATTCACAGTAGCCCTCTTTCTGTTCGCTGATTGATTGCCCCTTGCAAATTCTCTTTCATTGTCTGTATTAGTCCCCTCACACACACACACTCCTCCTTGAGATAATTATTCATTAGGTGGTTATGACCAACGCTGTGGGTTGGATCCTATCAGATTTTCTGCTGGCCAAACTGGTAGAAGAAGCATATTTTGATCACCAAAATGCCTATCCTATAGACTGTGGGACCCACTTGGACCAAAGCCACATGAGGCTCTAATAAGGAGGAGAATGGGGTGAGCTTAAACAAAAAAAGTCGGTAAGATCCAACCCCATATATTGTAGCATTAGTTTTCCTATCTATAAAATGGGTATTCAACCAGAAGCATATAATGACATAAGATGTAAAACTGCATGACAGTTTACAAATTAAAAGTATTATAAAAGTCACCATAAAAGGTTTTGGGGATTTGGCTTAGGTCACAGTAAATTCAGGTCCTTCTTCAGAGATCTTAGAAGGAATTCTGCCCTTCCCAGGTACGTGGCCTTCAACAGTTCCGCATTTTTTTTAAATTAAAATGTATTGTTGGGATTACAGAAATGTTACTGAAAAACAGTGTTTCATGGAAGTATTCTCGCAAGTCAGACATTTGCAGTAGGTTACTCAGTGATGTATTCTTGCAAGTCAGACATTTGCAGTAGGTTACTCACCCCCGCCACATGAAGCTGAGCAATCGGACTGTACCGTCACCCACAAATAGCTATGTCCTTTGGTGAATATCTTGTTCTCGTTGATCATCTTTGAGAATGTGTACTGCCAAGCAATGCCTGGATTTTTGCCTTGTAACAAGATCTAGATTTGAGGCAGAGGTAGGGAATAGATTACGAACAGGAGAGAAAAGGGGCCAAATTCTGCATCACAGAATCACATCAGTCCATGAGCTGATGTATTTGTGCTCCGATGTATGCATGAAGATCTCACCTTCTAGGGGCTCCCCATTCACTTCACAGGAGAGTTCAGGCCACCCATTCACCCTTTCATATGCCTTGTGTTTTCCCTTCCATTGAAGTGAATGGGAAACCTCTATACAAGAACTCCTTTCTGCAACAGAGTGCCCTAGATTGCCAGAAGTGCAATCCTAAACAAAGTTACACTGTTCTAACTATAATGAAGTCAATGAGCTCTGCTAGGGACTGCACCATAAGTTGCCCAAAAATAAACTCTGGCACATGTGAATATCTGCAGTCATACCATAAATAACCAAACTGAAGTAAGCAAAAACCCTGAGGAACAGATTTCATTATTTATCCATCTGCAAATGCTCCCTTTAATAATTGCTCCTGCTGCTTCTTTTTCAGGTGAAACCAAACTGCAAAAGACATTGTGCTAAAGAATGCAACACAAGTAACTGCTGATTACATTACATTATAACTTTACATTACATTACAACTGCTGAGTTGTAATGAACTCTCTGGAGAGCCAGAGGAATGAAGAACGGAGCCCAAAAAACAGGAAGAATTGCTGCAGGGAAGAGGCTTGGCATCAACCAGGTGTATGGTGGAAGGCCTCTTCCAAAGTCGTGTTTGGTGTTGCAGTCACCTCTTTGAAAGGCTCTTTTTACTGGGCCCAGTAGAATCTTGCTACCAACATTACAGTGGGCCTGGAGTTCTCCCGGAATTACAAATATTCTCCAGCCTGCAAAAATCAGCCACCCTGGAAGAAACAGGAGCTCTGAAGCACATACTCTTATGGTATACCATGGAGTCTAGGGGGAACAGAAGTCCTAGAGTGATATTAGAAGTCCCTCCCTCCCCAGGCACTGCCCCTAAATCTTCAGGAATTTTATAAGCCAGAGTTGGCAACCTTAGTAACACAAATTCACCACCATACAGATGATCCCAACTCATGCATCCACCACCATCAAAATATAGTCTCCAAAGACAAACAGGAGGAGAACAGCACCAGTGAATTGCCAGCAATCTGCTTACATTTTTGATTTTGAGCAAGAAGGTCCTATTAACAGGGTCATTTCCTGTGGAAGCGCACAGGAGCCGAGCTCCAGCAGTAAGGAGCCCAGGGGGTGGGTACATGCAACAAGTCCCATCCCCTGCTCCCAGCAGCCCTCAGTTGGGCCACGAGGAGCAAGAAGCAGCCAGGTAAGTTGCAGAGCCCCCCCCCGGCCCGCCTTCAGGTACAAGCTCTCCCTCCTCTGTGAGGGCAGATCTGCGCATCCCCCCCCCCATAGCTAGCAATCCAAAACAGTCCAGTGGCACCTTTAAGACCAAGTTTTATTGAGGTACAAGCTCTCCCTCCTCTGCGACGACAGATCTGCATGTTCCCCCCCACCCCTCAATAGCTAGCAATCTAAAACAGTCCAGTGGAGCCTGAGCGGTGGGTGTTGCCTTCTGACACGCTTCCGGTGATGTCAGGGGGTGTGGTACATGCAATAAGTTATGCTAATAAGTTATGGTAATGAGCTCCTGCACCTCTTTTTCTACGAAATGACCTCTGCCTATTAACATTCCTAAAGGTGGACAAGGGGATTTTAGCTATTCAGAAAATGTACCCATTGTGGCCTGGAGGGGGAGGGGCCAATGGGCCATGACAGGGAAATGTTTTTGAAAGAAATTTGCATTCACTTATGTGCAACAATGCTATGCATATAAAAGATCAGCAGAGCTAGCTGTTGTTCTTCTGTACATTAAGGGGGGGGGAGACTGAAACTGAAAGATGTCTTTTCCCGCCTTCACTCTAGTTCAGACCATGAATTCTGGTAGTGATCCAAGCTGGAAGTAAATGACCTAGTCCAATAGCACACACACACATACTTATCTACATCCATCCGGCAAATTAATAGCTTGGCTTTCTGCTTTATAGCAAGACCTGAGTTTAGAAAAACGTAGTATCAGACAAATGTAGAACAATGTATAAGATTTTATGAAGATCTGGGGTGTGATCAGCCTCTCTTCTGCACCCACTCACAAAGAGAGCAACTGCATGCATGTTGAGGAAGTTTGTGTGCCAGACACACACACACAGAAATGAAATGATAATAGCCAATAAAGGAGAAGGTTTATTTAGCATTTTATTACCATTCCTGTTTGTGGAACACACAGAGTAGCATTAGGTTCACCATGTAAGAATTTAGCTACTTATGCACCATGAGGAACCTGCAGAAAGGACGTACATCCAATTTCAGTAATGTATGCAGCACTATGTTACTTCTGAGGGAAACCCAGAAAGGATATAGGGTAGCTCTAGGAACTAGCAGAAACATTATAGGTTTACCATATAGTTTCTGTTGACTCCTAGAGCTGGTCTATATCACTTCTGGTTTTTCCCCTGAAGGCACATAGTGGCGCACACAGCTGCTGGCAGGAGACCTCCCATCATAGTGGAAGGCCTGGCAGCTCTAGGAGGGGGTATAGCCACTTCTGGGGGATTGGGACAGGAAAACTGCAGGAATACCTGTGAAATCCCTGGTGCACCTGTGCTTTATCTGCACCCACTAGGCTTGCCAATCTCCAGGTGGTGGCTGGAGATATCCTGTGATTACAACAAATCTCCTGGCAACAGAGATCAGTTCACCTGGAGAAAATGGCTGCTTTGGAAGATAGATTCTATGACATTATACCCCACTGAAATCCCTCCTCTCCCCAAACCCTGCCCTCCACAGGCCCCACCTCCAAAATCTCAGGGTTATTCCCAACCTGGAGCTGGCAACCCTAGCAGTCACACCAGCAATGGAGAAACCACAAAATCCCATTCCTTTGCGGAAGCCACCATAAGAATACAATTTGTTTATGTTGATTATGAATATATTAATAAACTCAGTTACAATCATGTAATATCTGTGTTTTTTAATTTCTCAAATTCTTTGAGTTATTCATCAGCAAATTAGGTTCACACACACAAACTTATTATAAAGGGTGTGGCCCAATATGCTAATGAGTTCCTGCTGTTGGGTGTGGCCTATTATGCTAATGAGTTCCTGCTGGGCTTTTTCTACAAAAAGAGCCCTGTATGACATTATACCCCACTGAAATCCCTCCTCTCCCCAAACCCTGCCCTCCGCCAGCAATGGAGAAACCACAAAATCCCATTCCTTTGCGGAAGCCACCATAAGAATACAATTTTTATGTTGATTATGAATATATTAATAAACTCAGTTACAATCATGTAATATCTGTGTTTTTTAATTTCTCAAATTCTTTGAGTTATTCATCAGCAAATTAGGTTCACAAACTTATTATAAATCTTTATATAAGTCCCAATTGCTGAAAAGATCTTCATAACTATAACTTTGAAAGATCTTTGATCTCCAACTAATGTTGGTTCCTTCTATTTAGACTTTGATAACAGATTGACTACTTCTGATTGGTATATGTAAGTGCTTAGAGTCTTCTGAATCAGGATTATTATTATTCTGAGGAAGAATTCTGATGAATGAAACAAGGGTTTACCTGGGGACTCATCAAGAACTCAAGTTGCTGAGGAATATTCCAGCAATTGGGACTTATATAAAGATTTATAAGTTCATGTGTGTGAACCTAAGTTGCTGATCAATTTGAAGAATTTGAGAAATTAAGAAGCACAGGCATTATATGATTGTAACTGAGTTTATTAATGTATATATTCATAATCAACACAAACAAGTTGTATTCTTATGAAAATCATTTGCGTGTATGAAGCCAAGTTCGTAGTGTTGGCTAAGCGACTAGGCAGGACTCTGCTATACTCAACCGCCACACAGTGTGATCCTGTGTAGAGTTACTACAAGCTTACTATAAGGCTAAGATGGGAAAAAGTCAGCACACATTTGCACTGTTAATCTGCCTTTAAATGTGTGCTGGAAGCACACCACCAAAACATATGCTAAAGTAGTCTAGTTTTCAGTCAATATGTGACAGCCCCTTCCTCCCATTATTGGTGTTCATTGCTCCTTTTGGGTTGCCACAACACAATGGCAGGAGAAGAACTAACAGAATTTGCCTCTCCTCATCGAGGATGCTAGACCATCCTCTCTGGTTTGTTTCCAAAACACCCTTGTCATCCCCTCTCCTAGCAAATAGGCTTTCCTTATCTTAAATACCTGAAGTTCCTTCAAAACTCCCTCCTTGATTAGCTTCATCTTGTAGCAGTTCCTACATGTATCTTTTCTCTCAAATCTCATTCTCCAAATATTCCTCTTCAGGGTCCATTCTCAATCCACTCTGGATCTTGCCTTCAGCATCCTTAATTCAGGATACTCAGTGTTGTAGTTTCCCTATACACCAAAGATCACTTCCAGGTCCTCCTAAAAGGTTTTCTTCTTACTACAATCAGAATTTCCCTTTCCTTCACAGAAAGACTGTAAATTGCTCACTTTTCTAACCAGCTGAACATTCCCTGACACCATAATGCCTCAGCCATCCTTGCCTCAAGAAGCATTTTACTTATTCTAAAGAGAAAATATCTAATGGAAGTTTCTTTTCAGTGTTCTCCCAAATTTTCCAACATTTTCCATCAAGAAAAACTGAGGGCCATAGAAAAAAAACCAGGACCACAAATATCACTTTCTTTTTTAAAAAATCTAGGTCCTCATATCCCTAGCTTCACCACCACAAGGGTAATACATGTGATTTAAGATGTGATTTATGGGTCTCAGATCTTCTACTATGGCAGGAAACCTTCTGGACATCTACTCTGTTTCCCACTGGCACCTCAAAGGCTGGCAGGGAGAAAATGGGGGAAATGGGAGTTTTGGGATATATTCCCTGCCACTATCTGGGGGGATTCTGAGGATTTATTAGACAGGCTGCACCAGATGTGAGGCTGTGTGCTGGTGTGACAAAGGGGCAGGATCTCTTCCA